CAGAATTCGTTTAAAAAGCCAACGTGGCCTTCGAATGGCCTTCGCGTCCCCACCTTCTTCTACCGACAAATTCTAATGTCTTCCTCAACCTCCTTAGACCCCTACACTTTCACTTTCTTCTCATATTTACTCAGGTTAGGTTTCATCGATAGCATTTTTGTTGCGTCTCCCTTCTCACGTACTTGTGCATTTCGTTCTCAGTGAAATTTATAAATCTATAGTGCATGTATATTTGCACGTATCAGGAACATAGAGAACAATGATTATCCTCTGTTATATCGTGTAATAAAAAAAGTGATTATCATCTTCCGTGACGTTTGTTCGTCGAAACGGACCACCCAGTATAGCCGAGCAGTCGTAATCGAGGCATTTCTGCACGCTACCGCGATGCATAAGAGAGGCGTTCGTCGAGGATATGAGAAATAGGCGAAAGTGCCTTTATTAGGATTGGTTCGCAATGAGCAGCCGTGTGCGAGTGAAAGGAAACGTGTGATAAGAAACAGAACGATCGCCGGTTGCTCGCTTCGCGTTAAACGGTTCTCACTTCCTGGTCGGGGCAGGTTTCTGAACTTGAAATCCTTTCAGCGCATTTTTCCGATCGATCGAATCGGCGCCGGACTGTGTTATTTAACGTTATCGAGCACGATCGCGATTTCATTGCGCGAAAGAGAAGGCAGAACCGCCATAGATCTCCGCAGCCTACGTACCTTGCTCTAATCGCGACATTCTGAAATTTCATCAACCGAACAAGCACAATCCAAGTCGAGCACTTAGTATTCACGGACGCTTACGCTGCTATTGCTCAGTGTAACCTATATATCGAAGGAGACGAAATACAATAGACCATTAAGAGTCACTTGTTTTAGGTGACCGCGTTTTCAATGATAATCTGCCTTCGTCGCTTGTAATTGGGTTTATTTTAAGAATTTCGCTAGTAACATCCTCCACCGTTTTAAGGGATCTTGAAAACCGAAAAATAGATAAAAATAATAGAAAGGCCAAGCAAGTTGCAAACTCTAATAGAGTAGCCATTGTTTAGCATGCCTGCTCCATAGCTTCCATGAACTCATTATACACGTTCTGTGCACTAGATCACGTTTCTCATACGTGCTTCGTCATGATGTAAATAAAACCAGTGCCAACTAGAAACTATAATATAAATTATCATCCACTTTCGTTACTCTGACCAACGAGGTCCAACGATCAAATTTCTTTCGATCAATAATCGAGTCACGTACAACGACTCTGCAGCGGCATGAACGCCTACAGTCGATCACGGTTTATCGCCATCGGCATTCGCGTCTTCGATCGCGAACGATCGAGCGCGTCTCTCCCACCGTCGCGACGACGAAGGTGGCCGCGTAAGTCGCCATTAATTCGTGGTACACGTACACCGACGATGGACATTAGCAATCGCACAAAAAGGCCCCTGGCTAGACATTTCATGCGAATTAGAGTCGCGACCTTGTCGGCTGTACACCTATCCTCCCCGCCCGGCCGTAAAAATAGAACGTCTGGATGGCGCGCGAAAGATAACGTGCTTTGACTTTCAAAATTGCAACCAGAAAAACGAATAAGATAGGAACGAGCAAAAACGCGCGACACGGCCGTATTTCCATAGTTATAATACGTAGGCCGACACAGCACCGTAAGGTCAGCCGGTACGCGATTGTTGCTGCAACGATGCAGAGAAGAGAAGCGTTTGCAGGCGGATCACGGATACCGCGAATGACTGGTCGTTCGAGGACCATTGCGAAACTGGACCAGAGACTGGACGAAGGAACGTCCAAGCTGACCATTCCTCCGGAAACGGGATCTGCTTCCCCCTAACAAGGACCAAAATACCAAACAGGATCGAAAGAGAACCATACGTTTCGAAATTATCTTGTTTGGAAGATTTCCCACTTTTCTGGCATTTATTTGAAAGAACATTCTCTGAAAATTACTGTGTTGCCTGGTGTTGAGGTTTCCGGGGTGTGAGTCCTCGAAGAAATTGGTCTGAATGTCTACTGATTGAGATAGATGGATTTTTTAGGGGTCAATGTTATGATCTATTGTTATTCAAATTGGGGAAACGTATGTAAAGGGGTTGGTGTCGTGCATCGAGAGGGGTTACACTTAATAGTCCACCAATTTGTTGATCTCTACATGGTGAAAATGAAGTGTTGCTAGCTTCAGGTGGATTTGCAGACTAATTTCGAAAGAGTTTTCTGGATCGAAGCGCGCGGTCCGTTGACGGGAGTGTGTCGACCCCTGATCTAGGGATTTCAGTGGGATCGCGTGACACCTCGTTTCCTCGAGGCGGTAACCGGTTCCGGCCGTTAACGTTTCGGAACTAGATCGCGACCGTAGAAGAAACGCGACGCGTCGTTTTCGCGCCATTATGATAACGCGTGCACCCGTGAATCCGCGATCGGTCGCTTACGCAACGCGCTCGCGGTTGCGTTTCAGGCGAAACTGGGTGGAGGAGGATCGGGAATGAGATAAAAGGAACCTGCGCGGCGCGCGTTAGGTGGACACAGAGGCGTGCCCGTGTGGTTTGCTACATACCGCGGGAGAAATGTAATACGCGAGCCGCGGCGCGTTCCACGAAATCGAGACGGAAAAGGAAATGAGTCGCGCGGCTCGGTTGCACGCTACTGGAAAATGTATCCAACAGGCGCGCGTTGCGATTACAGGTAGAACGATCCGCGGGGAATTTTCTTCACGATCGATTTCCGGTAGATCGAGGCGAGACGGTGCAACGATCGCGTTAACCCTTTCACTGCAGACAACGTGGACGCGGGATACGGGCTGGGTTATAAATACTCGATCGCGCGTAAGACTTTTTTCGCGTGTATATTTTTTTTGATCGCGAGAAATAAGTATGAAATTAAGAGGAACGAGAAAGCTTGCACGGGAAACGGGAAAAGTTCGCCGGCGTCTGTGGTTTTCGTGTTCTAAATTCGCATAACCGTTCGATCGAACGAACGTTGCGAATAAATCGCTGGAGAGAGTTATACGTTCACCATTTATTGATCTAATAAAATTCTGCCCATCTCTGGTCAAGGGTCAATAGGTGATACTGTTTATGGTTATAGCATACAAAGGAACCACATTAAGCGTAGTGCTCGGCATGTAATAAAGTTTCTGTGCGAATTGAGCGTCGTAAGTATTTGACACGTAAAAGTGTAGGTGGTCAATCGTGAGATATTTAACAATAAAGATTGCGACTGACCGTTGTTGAGCCAAGAACAAAGAAAATCTCTCGACTCGTGTCTACAATTTTTCTGAAGAAATTCCAATAAATTAATTGGCGCGAAAGGAACGATTACGCTATTTCCTGTATAAATTCAAAGACAGTGTAAGACACAAACAATTTTACCGCAGCGGGTCTCGACCCTGGCCGGACGGTTGGGAATTGTAACCGTAACCGCAAGGCTACTCATTCACTTGAAAACATGATAGAAGCAAGTTTTCTTAACGCAGCAGCGGACGATTACGATCTTTATTGTTAAATATCTCCTAACTGATTAACCGCCCACGCTTACGACGGCACATGGGTCAAAGACTTACGGTCCTCCATCCACCTACAAAGTTTCATTAAAATCCGAGCGTTGATATGGTTCCTTTGGTCCACAAGATGTTCTTCACAGACGTCAATAAATGCACTTTGTAATTTGGTGAAACTTTCGTGGAAACGTATAATAATTATAAATTGTGTAATTTATAATCGCAAACATGCAAATATTAAGCATAATCTATGATTTCGACGAGCCTCAAAATCAGTATCAATTCATGGAGATGAAATATTTAGGGGCTGACCAACGCTCTTGGTTTAACTAGTTTTATCGGGTATCGAAATATCCGATTAACCGTTTGGTGTCAAACTGGTCGGTTCTCCGGTGCACGAATAATACGGTTAACCGGACACATATGTATTATCGTAACGCTGATAATGGGAATTTATAGATTAAAACGGTATTTCGTGAAGCGAGACCGACAATGCTATCTGGGGCTTCAAATATTCCTCCACGAATCGATGAAAATTCCTCGAATAACAGTTGAATTAAAATAAAATTTATACGGAAGAATATGCAGAGTGAGGCTAGCTTTACCAGCGAGTAAGTAGAATCAGTGGGTCGTGGACAGACACGTCAGACTCAATACAATACATTTTCAGATTCAGTTATCTCAAACACCAGTCTCAAATTTTCAATTTGTTTTCCCATGTAGAACTCCACCCCCTCGATCGAACTGTGTATACTGGGAACCCGTTTCGATGATACCGTAGAATGCCCCCGGTGCAAAAAGTTAAGATCTCCAGGGGGAAACGGCGATTGTTTCCCGCGAATATTAAATTTATCGCTCGTATTTCGCCCGCGATGCTGGATCGATAAATTCTCGAGCGTTAATCGTATCCATATATTTCTCCCTCTGCCGATACGTCGAACGGGTTCGTTAAAAAGTCGCGGATAATGAAAGCTTCTATAGAAGGATTTTATTCGCCGAGGTATTACTTTGTCCTCGTTTATTTATCGCTCTGTCGAGGAACGTTGCTGGATCAACGATGCTGGCAATTAATCGGATAAATTGCACGCGTCTTCTGCACCTCTACGCGCGTCGCGAATTGATACTCTCTGCTCCCGACGTATTGAAAATTTTATAAAGTCACAAATAAAATTCGGCAGACACTACTTTTTGGAATCTGAGGCAATTTTCTAAAAAGATCCACCGTGTATCGTGAAAAGTGGGGTCACATTATCAAAGCATAGTGGGGAGCTTATGGTGGGGAGTCAAAGGGCCTCCTGTTTAGCGCTCAGACTCGACAACCGTCCCTCAACCTTCATTGACGTCGATACATTTCGGTTACAGTTGATAATTTCTAACATCTACGCATAAATTATCCACAAAGAACCTTTTCATCTATCACAAAAATAAGAGAAATCTAAAAAATAGAAACTTTTCGACATCCCCATCCTCTTAATAAACGAGTGATATAGAAGGCGGATACGATTTACCTATATAAACGTCGCTGCTGGTCTCAGTGGTTTGTTCGTATGACTGGTCCTCGGTGTACGCGATCGGATCAGCGGACGCGAATAGGATCCGCAGGATGATAGCCACCGCGGCCGCGAGTTGAGCGGCACTGACTATCCTGGCCCACAACATTTTCGTTTTGCAGCTGCGGCTGTGAAGCGGCTCGGCTCGGCGCGGCTCGGCGCGGCGTGGCGTGGCTCGCTCGCTTCTCCGGGCTATTTCACGAATTCGTCCATCCTCGTTGCTCTTGGCGGCGTTCTCATCGCGCTCGTTTCAACCACCCCCCGGGAACCCAGACACGGATTACGGCGACGGAGCAGGAGTCCCCGCGAACGTCCACACCGTTTTGCCCACGCGTTACATCGCGGGCCCGTGGTCCACGGGAGCCGTGTGTTTGCGTCGTCTCATGGCGCGCCGGTGATCGAAACGAACAACAAACCACCACCGGAGGATCGTTCTCCTTTTTCACCCCGTTGATCACGGCCGTTCTCCGGAATGGTTCACCAGCGAGCTATCGTCGATCGGTCGACATCGCGTACCTCGGTCGTCTGAAGGAATAGGAAACTGTCGAAGCGTATCGAGCAACGAGGACTCAGCGGTCGTCGATTGCATTCGCGCTGCATCCTCACGTACGCGCAACGTGGCCGGAATATAAACGCGTGGCTCGAGATCGGACGCCCAATTTGGTCTCGTCCCGACAGACACTCGCCCCCGCCGCGTTTCGGCACGATCCGTTCGTTGTTTTCCAAACCGCGAAACGAGAATCCGCGGCAGAAGAATAAATTCGACCCTCGTACGGACACGGTTCCCCCTCTCTCTCCATCTGGCTATGTCCTAATTGCGTCGTCGAGTGCCTCAATTAGTCGGAATTATGGCCTCGATTGTTTCTCGTCGAGAATACACACCGGGCCGCGTCACCGCCGGTAGCAACAACGAAAGACTGCCTCTGCCGCTGTTGCCGGCAGCAACGAGCGCATCAGGTTCGCAGCCCAACCAGCAATAATTACACGGCCCCTCTGGAAACGTTTTAAAGCGGCTTCCCCTTGTATTTTTAGTACCCGAAGACCGAGGGGACACGCGGGCGTACGCCGCCGCGGCGCGACGTGTCCGGAGAACGAGCGACATTCGGTTACCACCGGGGAAAGAGTTGTCGAAAACTGTTCCTGCCGGACGTTCGTCGGAATAGGGGTTGCCAAACTGGTCCTCCGCGACCTCGAAAAGGCTGATCGGACTCGTTCGATGGCCCCACGAGCCACTAGGTCATACGAAATTATGGACGTTCGAACGGGCGAAGATTAATCGCGATTTATATATTGAACGCCGAACGATTCTGTCCATACCGGTTAACTGGGACGCGCGGGGCTTCAAATTAGTTTACTCTTTACGAGAAGTTTCGTGCGTGACACTTCAGGATCATTTATCTCTCTTTCACTTATCTTCTACCAGAGATTTGTAAGAACAATGACCTACAAGTTCAAGGTTCTTGACTTGGTGCAACATTTTGCATAATCGAATAATCGTTTGCGCAATTTTTAACAGAAATTCGACCGTGTGTTTAGAAGATAGTATATCGAGCGTTCTGTAATTCAAGCGGTATAAACACGGCGGATGCCATGCACATTCGGCACGCATAATTACAACCAACGTGAGTAGAAAGTTGAATAATAATTGGATTGGTCGCTCAGGATACCAAAAGTGTCTCGCACGTGCCACGAGGTTTGACACCTATGGGCTTCTGTATGTGGGGGACACTGGAACAACAAGTGTACCTCGCGAGGTATCAACAAAAAGATGGAGCATTGGAGAATTAAATTTTTGAAACGCAACAGAGAAGACAATTCTTGGAACACAGCATCTAATTCTGAAATAAAGTATTTTTTCACCCGTAAAATTTGTATTCCCGGGTAGACGACATTTTTATTTTTATCTACGAAAACGGCAATTCCATCTTGTACGAGTTTATGTAAAGAATGCCTTCGAGCAGTGTTCACGATGCGAGAGAAACTTGTCTTCTCGCATATAAATTACGTTTTCACGATAGCAATCCTATTAGTTTATGCCAGCGTTTCTCAAACTGTGATCTGTTGATCCCTGGAGGACCGCGAACGTGTTCGTGTATTATTAGAAGAACAAAAACAGCATTTTTCTCGTAGCATTTTGTTTCTATTAAAATCGTCCGTCAAACAGTTTTTGTTCTCTCTAAAACGTGAAACTGGGAGAGCTTGGAAGTTTTATAAACGTCGTGTTGTACTTATAATATACTCGAAGCTTTACAGTCTGCTTTTGTCTCGTGCAAAATGATAACTTGTAATTTGTAAATGCTTTTAGTACAGCTATTTGTCCAACATTACTTTTTCACCGAACAATTCACATTCTAATAGCAGAATCCTGCAGCAATCGGTCGGAGATATGTGTAAATTGCACGCGGATCCCAGTTTTAGGTCACGCGCTAGAATCGTCGGCTGTGAAAGTGTTAAGGAGGTCTGCGAGGAGTCGAAGTTTGAGAAACACTGGTTTCCAATATACGAAACACTGATCGATAGCGAAATAACCAGTTTTAAAAATTCTGTTCGCCAAATCAGAATTCCATCCAGGGGCATTCCTCTCTGGTTCACCAACACACTAATAGTCATCGCTCGAATTGCATCGTATGGTCATTTAACTCCAATCCCAACAGTATACGACTTTGGATCGGATATCAATTTTTAACAACTTTAAGGTCTAAGCAAATTTACATTCCGTTTCATTCATCCGTTACTCGTAAATAAAAATGAAAAATTCGATTATAAAATGGTTTCGTTATACATATTATCTGAACAAAATTCTGTCGAATTGGAGGACAAATGTAAAGGAAACGTTGGGAATCCCTTTGCCAAAAAGAATCATAATCGCGATGGGCAATTATCGGAGAAAGAGTTTATAGATGGAGATCTATGCAGATCCATTTCGCGTAGCCACGGTGAATTAGCATAAGAGAACCAGGGGTTCGGGTACGATAGTCGACGGGAAATCGTTTAAATTATTCCAGGTGTTGGGAAGAGCGGTTCGAAACAAAGACGAATTGTTTACCTGCGATTGAATAGACGGGGCGAGCAAACGGATGGACGACTCGCAATTATGACTCAACGATTGCGATATTAACCACAAGTTAACCGAGAACCGGCCGCAACTGCGCTGCACGCGTGCACGATCACCGGCGAGCCTTGACATTTATACGTCACGGAGAAACTCTTTGGTGCCTACGTTCATCCTAGTTGTGTGCCCAGAAAGTTGGACGGGAAGGAAGACGTCTGTCGACTCGTTTCGACAACGAGCCGGCGAGGACGAGCGCAGAAAAACGCTTCCGTCGATCGGAGGATGAAAATTCAAGTTCTGCAATAAAGGATGACTCACTCGCGTGCGACGCTCCAACGCGTGCACCTATACAAGGTGTACCGCGATTTAACCATCCGCACCGACGCTCAGAAATCACCGAAAGGTGCTAAGGAATCGAAAAATTACCACTCGAACGTCGGAATCGTTTTGTTCGAGTCGAAACTACCTTATTCGCGATTATCGTGTCGTTAAAAAGTTGATCGCAAAATTTCGGAGCACCCTTCAATATTTAACAGAAATTATATGAATAATTTTGCATTTTTTATTTCTCAAATAAGAATAAGACTTTTGGTAGATATTTATTTATACATCTGTGTTCAGAATTTTCTGGAAAGAAGTTTGTACAAATTTCACGATACTCCAAAGAGACGTCTTACGTAACACCTAGATAATATGCTCTCACCACGAAAGAGTAAGATTTTTAGTAGTACAAAACCATAATTCATGTATGACGGAAGGGTGCTCGAAACTTTTGGGCGTTAGTGCATGGTCCGTTTGATTTCCTTTGTTCGAGTTACAAGCCGCGTTTGATGGAACCGTGTATTCGTATCGAAACGGTAATGTTTGTTTAGGAGTTTAAACTGACCTAGGAGAATATTCAAATACTGTTTACAGAATCGTTATCGAGGTCGTGGTTGAGTTACCAAGCGGCACACGGACAGACGGTCGAACGAAATCAAACGGAGCAACGGGTTTACGCGAAACTTCTTCTGGTATTTTCGTACGAGTCCGGTTCCTTTGGTCCGCGATACATCCGGTTTCGAGCGTACACATCCGTTAAATCCACGTTGCGCGTAAACGTTGCGTTTCTCGCGCAACGGCTGGCGACGACCTATCGACGATTTCCCGGCAACTTCCGTTTCAGAAGGACGTTGAACGATCAGAGCGAGAGAGAGATAGATAGAAAGAGCGAGAGAACACGGAGATAGCGAAGTGCAGAGAGCGAGTGAGAGAGGGAGAGAGAGAGAGAGGCTGTTTCCGATTCCAATATCCCTCGCGACGAGAAATATCCAATTCCACGACGAGTCGTTGGAAAGCGGACAAACTCGGATCGACTCGTGCTATGCATCGGTGCATTTGCATAGGTCGCTCGAACCGGTGACACCGTGTCGCGTGGGATCGCGACGATCGACGGCCAGAAGACTAATCGATTTGCTTCTGCCGAGACGTCGCTCTTTTGGCAGACGGATTCGAGGACGAGGGGTGTTGCCCTTTGTCATGGTCGGCCGTTCTTGTTGTCGCTACGTTTCGAGCAGATGCACGCCACACACCGGTGCTTTCCGATCGAATTCTCTCGTGGGAGGAGGAATCGTACGAGGTTGCGTTCCGATCCTGATCGTCATCGACGAAGAGACGACACACCAGACCGCGCATACGTTACGATTAAGGATAAGAAACGCATCGCCGATAGGAACGACATTGACACGTATCCCCGAGCGCGTCGAGCAATCAACGCGTTTCAAATCTCGAAAAGGTAGAGAAAGGACGCGTCTGGGCATAATTCGATCCCCTCGTGAAGGGGGCCTGGTTTCGCGTAGCCAATTGAATGCACCGTTTCAGCGTCATTTTGGCACCGCGCGGAGAACCCTTCACGCCATATCGACCCTTGAACCTCGAGCCACGATTCCGCCCACGTCGAACTCTCGTACCGGGGAGCACGCACCGGCTCCGGGATCATTACCACGCGAACCCTTTCGTATATCCGTGGCAGATTCGAGAAAAGCGATCGGAACCGGTCTCCGGGGGCCGGGGAATCACTTGGAAAACTTTCTCACACACGGAGGCGTCCTCACTGGCCGACGATGGATAGGCGTCGTTCGCGCGACGAATTAAACGCCATTTCGAGTCGCGGCACCGCCGGTCGGGATCCACGAGGGCTGCTGGGGTTTCGCGGATCACCGGTTCACGATCGTGAAGGGTGGAACGGAGCCGCGGAGGAGCGTCGCGATCCTGCGAAAGCGACACGACGCACTGGTCCACCGGCGAGCAACACGAACACTGGCATGCACAGGACCCGCTCCCACGGCCAACGTCCGTCGCGCGTACTGTAAACCGTGACTTGGTGGGTCTGCACACTCGCTCGCTCCGCTTGCCTCCAGTCGGGAACAGACAGACAGTCGGCCGGACGGGGGTACACGGAGAGGGAGAGAAACCGGGTGCTTTCGCGTGTTGGTAACCCGTAGGAGGGAAGGGGATAACCAGAGGGAAAGAAAGAGATAACTAGAAACAGAAAGAGCGGAGAGGGGGGAGAATGTGTATGGAAGAGCACGCGCGAGCGTACACCGACGGTAAGCTTCGCACACGTTTCCCCTGAAAAGCCGGCGTACACACGTGTACCGCGATAGAAAATGTGCGTCAGAGAAAGACCGAACGGTCAGGGGGAGTGGGAACGAACCGGCGAGGGGCGTAGAAGCGAAGCTACGGTGCAATGGTTGTGCACGGGTTACACACTGAGAGGAACAGCACCGCGTACGCGCGCGCGCGCACGCTCCCTCGCACGTGTGTGGGTTCGCTTTTCGTTCGTTTGTGTTCGTAACGCGTTTCCCTCTGGTCGGTTCTCTCCCAGCTTATCGCTTCTTCTTCGCGCCTGGACGAGAGAGACTTTGTCGTGTCGCGTTCACAACGCCACTCTTCTCGAGGAGGCACCGCACGCCGTAGTGAAAAATCGTGGAAAATCGACCGTGGGGCGAGGCGGAGCGCCGGTGGCGACGACCGAAACGCCGTGGCTTGCCCTCTCCCTCCTCCTCTCTCTGTCGTGTACTCTTTCTCCCTTGGTCGCGTTACTCTTTGTATATCCGTGTCTCCGTCGTTCTTTACCCACCCTTCTCTGTCTGTTTATGTACCCACGTTTTCGTCCGTCTTTCTCCCTCGCTCTTTATTTTCCTCCCCCCTCCCCACCCTGTACTTTCCCGTTCTTTCCCTCGCCGACAGACCTCGTCGTCCCTATTTCTCGTTCGCTGTCTCCTCTTCGATCCTCGTCGCTCGCTCGATTCTCCACCCGCTGTCTCCGTTCGCCACGGTCCCTGCCCTGTGCCAACGTATGGATTTTCAGGGTGTCCCGAGAAGGGAAATTCGGCGCTATTATTACGCGATCGCGAACCAACGACGACCGTGGAGAATCGACGGCAACGAGGAGGCGTACGCCTCGTACCGGCTAGCGCGAACGACGGACGTTGGGACGCTGAAAAAGACCCTCGACCGGCCATGAAAATCCCCGACCGTGCCCTACCCCGAGATCGAACCGACCACGACCACGACAGACACACAAATGACGGCCGTCACACGGACGCGTCGAAGAGCAGCTGGAAACCTGCTGGCAACCGGGGTTTTCAGGGACGTAGCAGTCGATCTTCGTACCACGTGGCCCGTAACTGTCATTGCCGGAAACGTGATTCGAGTGCCGAGTATAATCGTGATCTTTGTACGCTCGATCCCTATCTCTCGCGTGATCTCGAAACGATGTCATTAGAGACGTCGTCGGCGCTACCGTCGATTTCGGAGCAGATGACGCCCCGCTCCAAGTTCCTTTTAAACCATAATTAGCCCCACATAATCACGACCACGACTCTCATACACCGTTCTAATTAGTCGAAACATACTTCGAAGAATCGAAGGAATCTGAATTTTTGTATATATCACCAAATATTTCTGTCTTAATTAGATTCAACCCCCAAATACTAGACTTTCGTAGTCGTTTGTCAGGCAGTATCGAGTTTTGGACAAAACTGAATAATAAAAGTGATGCTCGTTTAAAACTCGAAACGAAATAGGTGAATCAGGAAACAGTAATACGCCACGAGCAATGAAGATTCATGGTCAATATTAAAATTTAACGGTACAGAGTACTCAAGTTACCCAAGTCGAACCGTAATTGTAAAACGATAATAATTGACGGAAAATATATTTATGCAAATCGTTAAATACAGTTATTAGTTTCTGAAGTTGCGGGTAATACCGCGATAATAAATTCCAGTTTATTTATTAGTAATAAAGTACGGACTATATAGTTCCTTCAATTACCTGCCTCGTGTACGATCAGTTATTTTAGACGAATCGTTAAAAGGCAATATTATTCCGTGTGATTTATCATACGCTATGAAATGTAACAGTTTATTTCCGATTGTCAGTTACCGCGTGCGTTGTTTATTAATAATCAATCGATCGAGGATGAGAAATTGCCAACGAACCCTCCGGGTTTTAGGTTTTCTTTCTTTCAATCAATTTTCACGCTGCGTCAACCCAACGCTGCGGCTTCTTTTTTGTTTCGTGATCGAACTGTTCGCGTGAAAGTAATCTCACGACCTCTTTGCTTGGATGCATTCCTAAGATTACAACACAATTCCTACTAGACACATAAATACGTATAGATAATGTATTTTTAAAAAAGTCTAGAGGGCCCATTTAATTAATAGAAAAAATGAAACCATCCTCGTTTCTAAGAAAACAGCTTGCAACAGTTTATTCGATCCACATGGTATGCACTAGAGAAATCTGTTTCAACTCATAGAAGTTCAAAAAGTGTCTATTTCTGTTTCATCGGTGCCCATAGTTCTAAAAATGACTTTACGGTTAACTCTTTTTATTCCAGGTAAAATTAGCAGTCTAAGAAACCCTTTCATTTGGTATCCCTTACTCTTTCAAAACTAGCACATTTGTAGACAAGACAATTTTACGAAAAAGATCGAATCTTTTATCCTCAGTTTATTCGCAGTTTCTCAAACCCAGGCACTATTATGAGCAAATTAGAAGCTTAACTTTTTGCGAACATTTCCTGTAGACTTGTTTTCTTGCCACTCAGTTATTTTATACCAGCGATAAAATACGTCCGTAGTACCAAAACCAATTTTATGTTCATCACCGCTTATTTGGGAACAGCTGTCATGGTCGGTTCCATTTATGGCTTCGGCTTCTAGATCACCCTCGTCTTTGTTCAAAATTTCGTTTACATCTTCTCCACCTTTTCATGTAACAAGTTCTTCTTCGATCAATCTTTTATTCCTAAAAACGTGTACTTTGTTCTTGCACCTTATCATAATAAAAGTAGAGCATTCATAATAGACTTTTACTGATATAATTGGACACTTGGTATGTTTTGTACTGGACTACGGAAAAATCTGATAATACTTCCGCTTATAATGAACAGTCAACAGGATGCGCGAGCCAGATACAATAATACTCCAAAAGCGGTCTGCTAACAGTGTTTTCTTGTATAGTTCATATTCGTTATACAGAAACCATACAATTAACAATTTTCTAAATCTGAAAATCCCTTTCGAAACAGGTTCAAATTTTGTTAAAGATCACGAAGTATTTAAATTTCAAACTCGACTCTGTTTAAGTAACGACCGCAAAATTTGTCCAAACACAAGTTGCTTATACGAACGAAACCGTCGCGTGTCGCGATGTCCAACTTCAACACCAGTTAAACCAGTTTGACACCAATGAACCAATTCCCACGAAATTTGGCACACATATACAGCATCTTAATAATCGAGACTACGACCAACAGCGGCCATTTTCTATTTAAGACACGTTCCCCTTTGAAATTTCGCCGCTTTTCTTTACGAAGCAGCCGTCTCAACGATTCGATATTTCTCGCGACCCGAGACAGTCGTAACTCGATTTTTACTTGCTCCGTTCGTCAACTGAGAACGGCAGCGTGTTTTAAACGACCCAAATCGGTGGGTGAACGCCAGTTTCTTGCACGCGATCTGTCGTTACACGGTTAAGTAGATCGACAACGACGAAGCAGCCGAACGAAGGAGATTTCATATCCGCGAAGTTTCAGGCAATCGAATTTTACGAGCCGTAAGGTGGTAGCTCGGCTTCCTGACTCTTTGTTCCGTGTTCTCACGTCGGTCGCGCGAACAATGGGGAACAACGTGGAACAAAGCAATGCTCCGAGTCGGCGGGATCGTGATACGACGTTCGGTAATTACGTATCCGAGGATACGATAGCAGGTGAAATTGATAAGGTTCGTCGTCGAAACGGTTGCTCGTATTAGATTACAAACAAGGGGACGCTTTCCTTTTCGAGACCATATTGTTATCATATCGCTTTAACTTTTCCAAGTAGGAGTAAAATTTTCATTTATACCGAGTCCTCGCCGACGTCAAAATCGATATAAACCAGAGAATTTAGAATCGATCAAAATAAACACGATAAAAGTCTGAACCAACGTAAATAAGTTTGATCGTGGAAAGTAGTTTTCGAGAAGTTTGAAAACCTGGAGCCGGAGCGGCGGAGATTTTACACGAAGTTTCTAAACCGTGAGCGTTCGTCTTTATCGTGGCTCGCGAACGAGGCACCGCCACTGACGTACCACGAATTTAAATGATATCATTGTCTGCGCCAGTTATGGCAAGATCGTATGGTCGCCTCATGGACGTTACGTCGCGTCGCGGACGCTATCTGGTCGTGTAATCGTCGTATTTGTCCGGTACATACGATCAAGCATATAGCGTTACGTACTGGCGTATAATTAAATTAATTCAGACCTTGGCTCCGCGTTTTAAGAGTCTTTTAAAGTGATTCGCGGAACATCCTTTCCTTGGGCACACTTTTACGCGGCGAAGATAAAAAAGCCATGATCTGGATACGAGCCTCGTAAAACTACACGCTCGAGAGTTGATAAATTCTTATCATTCGGCAGTAAACCAAGTGCTGGATGACATCTAGCGAAATACCAATCAAATTTAACGACGTTCTCCGTCCCACGATGGTCTACGATTTTATCTTTCGTCGACCGCGGTCCGAACAGTTCTGTCGCGGACGATGTATACGAGGAGACCTTTCACCGTATGGACTTTCGTGGCCAAATCTGACTGCCATACCGACCTGAGGTGCACAAATTTTTCGGCGAAAAAAAAAATTCAAATCGTTCTCAAAAAATTATTTTTAGCTAGAGGGGCAATTACAATCATTTTTGGTCAATAGACATACCCTCGAATTCCTACGCACTTTCGAGAAAAAAATTCGAGTAGGTGCCTAAAGTTTTCGTCGAAATTGAAAAGTTTCAAATCGTTCTGG